CGACTGATCTTGCCACGCAATATCATCGGGGGTGACACAGCTGAGCCCCTGATGAGATGTGGGCTGACATGTGTCAGGGAGCATCACGGCATGCTTCCCTAGGTGCCCAGGTGGATTGTGGGAACAACAAAGGAGGCAGGGGGCTTGTAAACATTTTCTAATATGGCATTTAAGACAAAAAAGAGTGAGCTGAGGCAGAACAAGACAAATTAATGTAGAATGACAACTGCCTTGAGGAAGATCAGATGTCCAGAGAAAATCAAAAGAATTCTTCTCTCAGGACGCCAATGTAAATCCATATATCTCTATCTATCTAAACATAGATATGTAGGTCTGTGTGTAAATGTGCATATTAAAACAGGTGGCCAGCTGGTGCTAAAAAAAAATAAAAGAACTTTTACTATGGTAAAAGTCCACTGAATTAGTGAAAGAACATGAAGATGCCTAAACAGTCTTCACCTGTTTGCTTCCTTGGTTGAATGCTTTGACTTCTCTGTATAGAGGTGAGCATGTGCAAACATTCTTTTCACTTTCTTATAGATTTGGGATACAGAATTTTTTCAAAGGTGACTAGAATGAGCAAAAATTAGGAAGAAAACTTGTGTGTGTTTTGGATGTGGCAGCTATCTGCAGATGAATATATAAGCATAGAGAAATGGAAGAATTGAATTATGTGGTTCATGGGGCTTTGACTGCAGGTCAGAGAGAGAAATTAAGGAAGGAACCTTCTACTGAAATGCTTCTTGGCTTTGAGTTCCTAAAACTGAAGAATTGCTTTAAAATAAAGGAAGTGGAAATACCACAGTTTGAGAACCTTGGACACAATATGACTAACATGCACAATCCTGGAACAGCTGAAAGAGGCAGAGTTAAGAACTGGTGAGTGTATGGGAGTTTTATATTATCAAAACCTGCTGTTCTTTTAAGTTTATTTACAAACACTGAGATGCTTACAGACTACTCAGTGCTGCAGAAGTCACTGTTGTTTAATTGTAAGAAACGTGGCACTCTCAGCATATCTGCCTGCATCAGATAATTCAGTATTCATCCTCTTAATTAGGCCATACTTCTGAGGTGAGATTTCAATGGCAGGTTAAAATATCCACATTTTTACCTACAGATAGTCTGCCCTTTTATGTTGCCAAAGCCAGTGGAGGGATTGTTGTACAGTCAGGGGAACTCAGTACCCTGCCCCATTTACCCTGCAGTGGACACTTGGTCAGCTGCACTGATCTCTCCTACCTAAAAAAGGTCAGGCAAGCTGCTCTGAGCCAGTGCCCACCTCTTTCCAGTGAGTATGAAATAACTTCAAACAACTTTAGACTTAACCATTAATATTCAGATGGCTAAATTTAGGGGAGAGCAATCCTGCCCACAGTGCATAAAATAAACACATATAACCCTCAGTCCCTCACTGTGCCTTCCCGTATCTTCTTTCTGGATCATGTGTGTTGCAGCTTATCTAACTGATCACAAACAAGCAACACAGCTGGAACAGCCAATATCAAATAAACACAGGGATTTTCTTTGTGATGAGATCTACAGGAGTTAAAAAAAAAAAGTTAAAAATATGTTTTCTAATAATTACCCAAAATTACTGTTTGATAAACCCATAATCTGATGGAAAAGCAAGTCAAAAGGAAAGGGGAAAAACTATTCTTTTTAAAGTATCACACCATTAACACAATATATTACTGCTACTTGCAAAACAACTTTCTTAGACAAAGAACAAAAGCACTATAAAATGTAGTGATACCTGGCAAGACACTGCAGCTCCTGAGGTTTCAAGGTATTTTAGAAAATTAATATCTCACACATATGCAGCAGGTTTCACCTGAAGATCTCAAAGCACTTTGTAAATATATATGCATTAATTAATCTTCACAGCAGCTCTATGAAATAAGCACTGTAAATATAATTATCTTGATTTTACAGATGGTTAACTTGAGACTCAGAGCTCTGAAATAACTCCCCCAAGTTCACACTATGAATCAGCAGCACCGTAGTGACTGGAATCCAGTGTTTCTACTGCCACTTCTCTTTGCTAACCCAAATGACAAAAGTCCTTTTGCTTAGGATAGCAATAGGCTCCACACAGAGAAAAGAGCTGCTCTGGGACTTCACACTTTCTAGCTGGTAAAGCATTTCCCACCCTTTGGATCAGGGACATGGTAAATGCGCACAGTGTTATTTATTATTAATATGCTCATTATCATCTGCATCATTACCACAGGAGGAATGTTGTCGATAGAGGTGCTGGTGAGCAGGTCAGATCCTGCCCCAGTATTGAACATGGCCAGTTCTGGTGGCTCTTTGCTGCTTAAAAGGACGATTTCCTTAATAAGCAGTTCTTAAGAAGTCACAGGCAGCAATCACACTTCCTGCACATCTTTCGTCTTCATTTACTGTGACATTCCCGTTGTAGCTTGTAAATAAACTGTGGTTATCCCACTGGGGAGAGGCACAGTTTGATATAATGTCAGCCTGAGCTAAAGCTGAGGAAGCTGAGCCTGCTGTGAAGGGGAGGGTCTCTCAAGCGCCCACATCTGAAATCTTCAGCCTACTCTTACCTAATTAAAAAGTCAGCCTGCCAGCATGTAAATGGCAGTGAACAGAAAAGGGATGACATATGGCAAACACAGGCAGCAGTCAGGGGTAACACCTGTGTATGGAGGAGGCGCTTGGGTTGTCAGAGCTGAGGGGCATCTGCAGGGGCACCTGGTGGTCCTCCTTCTCCTTAAAGTAGTGAAGGTCTTTCACAGGGAGAGTGATGCATTTTGAAAGCATTTAAAGTGTAAATTATTTACCATTTTCATCTAAACTAGATTCCTTAGTGTCATTCCACTAAATTTTGTTCTGTTTGGATTTGTTTTTCACATAGAGCCCATCTCTGTGTGGTACCTTTGTTTATGGCAATCTGTTCTTCAACAGTGGGTCTTGATTTTTATTTTTGCTGAAAATAATATGTGTTTATATATTATAACATTTTGTCCTACTGCCCTGGGATTTGGTAAGGACCCAGTTTTGCCTCTTCAAAACTGTGCTGGGTCTGGGTAGGTTCATACTCTTTCTGACTGGGAATCATGTAGGTTCACACTCTTTCTGACTTTTCCCAGCATATTCATGTCAAATGGTATCAGACCTCACCAGCTTCCCCTAGTAAGGGTAGCTAAACCTCCATTAGAATGTTTTAACATTCTCTTTTCTGATGTGACAGAGAAAAAGATAAAAATGCATACCCCCAAACTACAGAGGCGGTAATTTGATCTGGTGAGGGTCATCACATGGGAGCATTTTAGGCTGACATTAAAGGCCACGGACAGTTCCCACTTCACTCCAGGAAGGCATCTCCCCTGCAGCTTACAGACAGCTGGATGTCAGATGTTCCCCAAGGTCACTTTTCCAGGGGTCTCTGGTCACCCTTGTCCCCGTAAAGACACTTGTCCCTTCTTGGGGCTGTCAGAGGGCAAAACCTGTCTGCCTACATTTCCTCCTGGGCATTTAAGCCTGATTAAGAAGACATTCAGTTTTGCTGTGAAGGTTAGGATATTTCCTCCTTTCTTGCAAAATCTTGGCTGAGGAAATCAGCTGTGTGGGTGGCAAGCCCAGAGGACACAGGATTGTGAGCATCATTCAAAGCCAAATCCTGCCTTGGGTCTGCATCATGCTGCACTCTTACTGTTTGCAGTCCCAGGCTCTCTGTTTTCCAAAGATGTCATGCTTTCTATTTTATTTTAATAGAGGCTTAGTTTCAAATCCACCGCCCAGCTGTGCCTGCAGGGAGTGCCCAGCTGAGGCCAGTAGCAGGTGTGTGGAGACATTTGAAAGCAGGACATGCTCCTGAGCTACCCCTCGCACACCACTGCTCTGGGGATGGACCTTGACCACTGGGCATCACAAAGGATCCCTGAAAACTGCTCATGCATAATGACAAGTTTTACTCACTTGTCTTTATGAAAGTACATTGAGGTGAGAGTATAAGAGGGAAGAGAGAGAGAAAAGTGAAAGGAGCCTCCAAAATCAGGGAGCAATATCCACAAACTCTCTGAAGCATCACATGATTCATTCCCTGACATTTTTTTTCCCAATTTTGAAAGGTACCCTGAGGTAGATTGCCATATCTGCATAGATTTATTTATAAAGGGGAAGTTCTTCTACTGCGCATATCTGTGTTGATTGCCACATTGTTACAGGCACCTGGGGAGTCCATAAAAGAATCAAAGAATAAAAAAGGTCTAAAGTAAAAAATTTACAAACAACAAAAGCCATAATGCGTTTCCTGTGAAGTCCTGAAATAAGGATTTCTCACAAAGGAGGCCCAGGAACAAAGCTAACACATGAACACAGCTCTTGGTGTAACAGACAATCCCAGATCTACATACTAATCTAATTACCATCTTCATTTACGTGTGGGTCCTTCCAATTCCCTTACCATCATTCCACTTTATTGCAAACACTGATTATGTAGAGAAGCTTGAAAATTGAACAGAGGACAAGAAACAGGACTGAAAACCTACATAATCTCCCCAAAAAGCCATGACAACTACAGACATTTTCTTAAGAGCAGAGAAATTTCCTCACTGTGAGCTGGAATGTTGTTTGGCTGACGTAGGCACAGCCTGCCATCCCTAGAACTGGCGTTGTTTGCCAGCTGCTAAAAACCAGTTTTTTTCTGGACTGCTTGGCATATGGCAAAGGTGCCACAGGACCCTGAAAACCCGATGCTCTTTGTCTCGCAGCTCTCACTTACGACTGGAGATGGCTTTAACTCTGAAATGTGGAACCAGCTCACCTATGCTTCCACCCAGTCTGGCCTTGGAAGTACTTTCCTGCTGCAGAGCTGTACCACAGCTGCTGAACTCCTGCTGCTCACAGCTTTCCTACAAAGCGTAGAGCACCGTGGGTTTGGGATTCTACCTTGAGTGATGACATCTGGTAAGCTTCATCGCCCTGCGCAGCCAGGCTTTTCTCTCTGAAACTGCCATGCCAGCTACATCCACGCTTTGGCTGACAGCATTTGGGGAAGTGAAAAGAGACTTCAGTGCTTTGTTTCATGATTGCACAAGTTGTCAGTCTTGAGGTTCTTTGACTAACTTCTGCCTCCTCCAGGGACAAATGGTTGTGCTCAAACAATGAGAAATGCCAGTGATGCAAAACCAGAGTCTAAACATCCACGTGAACTCAAAAACAGCAGGACAACTCATGGAAGAAAAATCCATTGAAAACTACTGATACAAAGAATGTACCCCTGACTCTGGAAATCCCTGAGCTGCCAATTGCAGGAAGCCAGGAAAGAATATTGCTCTTGCAATTTTCCCTCTGCTTTATGACTGACTAGGCTAGGAGATGGGATATGTGTCAGAATAACTGTCTGATTGCCTATAGCTGTTCTATATTTTTCTTGTTTTCCTTGGAAAAAGTGAATCCTTTATGTTGGGATTCAAGCAAGACTAGTTCCCAGGATGGCGCTATTGTTTATTGAGACAGGGGGGAGAATTCGAAGAAAAGAAGTTTTGCTTTTTAACCTTTTTTCCCAACAGTTGCTTAAAGTGTTTCCATGAAGAATACTTGCAAATATAATGCTCATCATTTAGAATACACAAAGGCCATGGAAATATGGGCTTCCCAGGAAAAAATCTGGGCTTTATTTGGTTTTTTTAAATTGTAAACTCAAAAGTCAAAGCTCTTTCCAGCTGGAAGTGGAAAAAAACCCCAAACCCCCTGTTTTTAAAGGCTATCTTTTGGTAACAAAGTGCCCTCTTCTAAAAGTGGGTCTATTCGCGGTATGTGCCTGTGAAAAGGGAAGGTTGCTGCAGGTTTGAAAAAACACTGTTGAACCATTACAGTGTCAACATGCTAATCTGGATTTGGAACAAAATGTGCTTAAAAGACCATCAGACTGATAGAAATTTCTCTCAGTGATCACTCAACTCTATGAATCTTTTACTAAACAGAAATTTTACTAGATATAGCCAACAACTCCCTCCAAACTCTAGAAAAACCCTTTTTCTTTAAAAGCCCTCAAAATATTCAGTAAGTTCTTAAGAAACAGAGCACAATGACTTTCTTTTAGATACAAAAGGATGGTACCAAAACCAGGAAACTAAGCTATTCAATTCTCTACCCCCACACTCCAGTCTTGATTGATTGCAGAAAGCTGAAAAGCAGCTATTGCAAAAAGAAAGGTGGTTTAACTCAGGAAGGTGAGCTGAAAGATGAGCAGATAGAGCTCGAGGTGGTTGGACTGATGTTGGATCAGGGAACTGCACAGACAGAACCTGACTTTTGAAGTCAATAACTAGGTACAGCCTTAGCAGTGTAGACAATTACTAAGATAAGATGCAGTTTTACCAATTGTACATCTGTATGTCAAGCAGAACAAATGAAATCCTTGACAGTCTCTTATAGGATACCAATCCAATTTTAAAGTGCATGGTACAGGGATGAGAGCAATAGACACAGGTTAAGATAAATCTTTCTGTTTTGCTGTACTTTCCCAGATAATTTATTCAGTTGTTTTATTTATTTTTTCATAGTATGGAAATCTCTGTGCATGCTCCTTCCATAATAAATTTGAGCAAACATTGCTGTAAGAATGGGGACTGGCAGGTTGATTCTGTCTTTTGTGATGAGTTTTTTTTACTCCAAGAAACAACATGCAGTTCACTGGTAGTCCAAAGCTTTGCTAATTTTGTATTAATTCATACTAATTTGATATTAATTTACACTGAGGGTATACTCCCTTGAAAGATGCAAATATTAGAGCAAAAGTTAACATCGCTGCACAGGCTCACAGCACAGATAAGGTCCATGCTGCAATGCATAGGGATATTAGAAACAATGAGTTTGTTTCAATACTTTTTAGTTTCAAACTTTGCTTTTCTGCTGACTTCAAGTGGAGAGAGCTGGGGAAAAAAACCGGCTAGGCTTAGTATCAATAAAATCACTACAGATTTCATGTGGGAGAAAGTTGTTTCCTGGCTCTGAGTTTACTGTAGCACAAGATATGGTCTAAAAGAAATACCCTAACTGCTAGCCATCACTCCAAGGTCTTCATTAGACACAAACTTTAACAGTGCTGTCAAAACCTTAAATTAATCAGCTGGGATCATGACTCCACTGGTGTAAAGCAACATATTATATTTTGAAATCTGTAGTTCTGCACCAGTTACTGCCACTACAGAAAAGGCTGTGTGTTACTGGTGTGCAGAAGCTGCTGTGTTCTACCCCAAGGGAACAGTATTTAAAGAGCAATAAGGTGCTACTTTGCACTTTTGCCTCCTGTGTCCATTATATACGTCTAAGAACTTGCTTTTTCACAGTGTCATTTTCTACTTCTGTTTCCCTTAGTGTTTTGAAAAAAGCAACTATGTAACTTTTCCCTGTTCCCTTCCGGAAAAAGTTAATAAGTCCAAAATATTTCAGTAGGAACACAACTGCCTTCCACTTGGATGAAAAACAAGTCCCATTTAGCTTCATCCAGATGAAAGAACTCTTCCTTTGGAATTTCCACTTCCCCCTCAACAACCATTAAGTGTCACAGCCATGGAAAGCAGAATGGATGTTAAGGGGAGACTGGAGTAATCAACTCAAAATCAAGCCACCCTGCACTAGCTGTGGTCATTCGAGTGACACCAAAGCCTTCTTCTAACACCCTCCTCAAGGAGCTGCACTAAGCAAAGGTAAGGGGATGGACCCTGCTGATTGCAACCATCAGCTGTGGGCTGGAACTGGTGTCCCAAGTGCCCAATGTTGGAACCTCACTTTAATGTTTAATTTCGTGTTTAATTTTTAAAATTTGATTTGATCATTATCATAAACATTAAACAATATTTCCTGTTTAAATATGAATAGGCTGCATTATTTGATTGAAATGAGTGTTCAGATGGCTAATGTGTTTTATTATGGCCATAGAATTTTACTGTTATTTCCCCTCCAGCTGCTGCTGTTGCAGGGAACTCAAAGGGATTCAGTTTTCAATAAGATGGGCTCTATTGGATGGCATGGTGTGGTACACAAGCTTGCCAAAAAGAGTCTTTCCCAGCCTGGGGATACTGCTGCTGGTAGTTTTATACAGCTGATGAGTGGCTGTTATGGTTCAATGTCCATACAGGGACTTGTGAAAGGCTCCTCGCAGCCTATCGCCCCCCTACCTAACATCTCTAATTTGCCTTTGGAATGCCAGCTCCCATCTTTGGTTATCCTGTGATAACATCCTCTATCAGCCAGTAATTGAATTTTGCAGACAAGTGTCTCACTGGTTTCTCCCATGCTGGCCCTTTATGCATGGTAGGAGCTCCTTAAAGTGAGCTGCAATCCCATCTCAGTTTCCTGAAATTTCTCCAGAACTGGTCCCCCTGCGCTCACGTTTGACTTTGACAGCACTGTGACCATGTGTGTGTTGAAACTACTTCTCCTCTTGCTATGAAACTTATAGTTCTCTCAACTCCGTTTTCTCGTTTTGTTTCTTCCTCTCTGTTACTCATCTCACCTTGTAAAAAGTTTGGAGTTGAGCGTGCCTCTGGCTGGTCTTTGCAAAGTGTACAGTCCTTCCCCATGACAAGCACTTCTCAGCACTATCTTAATTAGGGTGAGGTGGGAAACAAGAATTCCATTTAGCAGAAAATGTCAAGTTTTCATACATAATTTTTGTTCCGCACCAATGACCTTTAAAATATGGTTGGACTGACATCATCACTCTTCCCCCTTGAACACCCATGAGCACAGACATCAGGATAACTCAGCAGCAAAGGTAATCTGTGCCGTCAGAGTATGGGTTTCACACTGCAGCACTTGCTATTGCATGAAGTCCATCCTGGAACTCAGAAACCTGTCCAATAATAATTTTATTAAATCCTCTACTTTTGTCTCTAGAGTAGGAATCATGAAAAATTAGCATTTTTGCCTGAAAAATTACCTCAGTCAGGGCTAATTATCATATGGATAATAAGTATTTAAGAAAGTTGCTTTCTAGCACAATGCTTCAATACATCCAGGCCAAATGTTACTGGCAAAGCACTGTGGGTAGTGGAACTGGAAATCAGTAACAGTTCTCTTTGATTAACAAAAGAAGCATTTACAACTGTGTTAAGATGAAGGTTTAGTCCAGTTAACCGTTTGGAACCATTATAATGAGGAAACAAGTCCTTAATACAAGATCATTATGAAACTCCATCAGAAGAGATGAACCCACTTCTTGTGTGGGGGAACAAAATTCTAAGCATTTAGAGATGGGGAAAGAAAATAGTTATAGGTCTTTGAATCCAACATTTCTACTGAAGAAAATTTATCCAGCTTGAAGAGGAATAGGTAGTTAAGGGAGGTATTCTTCTCTGACTTTTGCCATCCAGGAATTTACTTAAGCTGGCCACTGATCTACAGAAAATGTGGGTAGATAGAAATGAACTTCCACAACGTGATTCATCAGTTTTAGAAGTGAATGAATGACTGCATTGGAAAATATCTTTTCTTCCTTATTGATTGCTGAATGTATCTCAAATTAACAGCTGAGAATAAACACCTAATCTTCCTAAGATGGAAGGTATTGTAGACGAAAAAACTCCACCCTCAAATGACTTGCCACAAATACTACAGCAAGAGTGAGACCAGTAGGAGTAAACTCTTATTTCCAGACCAGTGTTCTGCTGTCTGAAAAATGGTGACCTCTGCAGTGGCAATAATGAGCAAAATCTACAATCTATAACATTTCCAATCAGGTATTTTTCAGTGTGTTGTCTTCAATACCATCACCATTTCTGATTGCTTTGAGGCCTTATAAAATGTGTGTATTTTGGTACATCTGAATTTGCTTCTTTCAAAGACAGAAGCAAATTCAAAGTGTGCAGAATGAGGGCAGTAGTGTCAGACAACACAGTGGAGATAACTTACAGCAATCAAAAATGAAAAAGGCTTCTTAGGGTTTGTGGGTCTCTGATAATATGACATATCTCCCCACTGAATATTCAAAAGTATATTGCTTATCCTCATTTTCAGTGTCGAAATAACAA